CTCACAGGAAAAGAGAACCCAAATGAGAGTCCGGCAGCAGCCCTGGAAGCTCGAGGATAATGGAGCGACACTCCTGGAATACTGAGATGATTTCCAACCAGAATTCCACTGGCAGCTCAACTGTCAAGTGTCAAGTGAGAGCTGAGAGCACTTTCAAATATGCAAAGCCTAAAAAATGGCCCATCATAGTCTTCTGAAGATGCCACGGGAAAATGTGCTCCGCCAAAACAAGACCGTAAACCAGGAAAGAGAAACACACAGGATTCGGCACACTCCCAGGGTGAGGGTAAGAGGCAGTAACAGTGTACCCCAGTCAGCTAGAGTGAGTCACCTTAGGTTTTGCTGCAGAAGTATCAACATCACAGATTAATGGTCCAACCGAGGCCGCCCTCCCCCGGGAGGTATTTACACACTGCATGGTACACGCAGTTACTGTGTCTCCTTTCTAAGTCCTAAAAGCCTCTGGATTTCGTGTATCTGGCCTAAAGGATCTGGGATTTGAGACTATGGACCTGCATATATTTCTAAGTATATTTATGTATGCTTTTATAAAGTTAGTATCATGTGGCCCATATAACCTCATACTTGTATATTACTAGAGACTATGATTTCATGGCTCTATAGTATTTGTACATAAACGTTTCATAGACATTTGAGTTATTTGTATGGTTCTAGAAAATAAATTTCTAGAAGTAGAAATGTCAAAAGATGTTTGCATTTATAAAGCTTTTAAATACACAGACAAGCACACTACCTTCGTGTAGTCTATAAGGCAGGTAGAAGGCATAAAATGAATATGTAAATACACAAAGGAACACAGAATGAGAAATTAAGGTAAGTAGTCAAAGAGCACAGAGCTATGAGGGCAGAGCTGGGCAGACTGGTACCAAGTCCTGTCACATGGGCTCTCCGAAGAGTGTGTCGGTTCTACTTACGTGAACACCGACCACACAGGGCAATCTGAATTCTGCTCACTCTCCAACTCCCTCCCATAATCATCTAACAATGAATATATTAGGCTGTCAGGGAAGTCAAGATGTATTTTTCTGTTTTTCTATGAAAAACATGCCATGACTTTCCCAACAACCCAATAAGCAGGCTTTTTAAAGGGCAGAAGAAAAGCTCCAACGCTGCCAAACCAGCTTCGGAGACGGGACTTTCCTCTCCTCTCCGTGCGCTATCAGCATGGCTACGGCTAGTGACGCTGACTGGGACCACAGAGGACCACTGGCAGACGCAAGGCCCAAAGCATTGCCAAAGCAGAATTTGGGGCAGGGGTTGAAGGGGGATAGGCAAGTAATAAGGGAAGAGAAAGAGGCACGTATGGACAGATGGTGACAGTTTTAGTTTCTTCTCTTTTTTGTTTGCTAGAGTACACTGACAGGAAAGACAGAAAAAGAGAGTGAGGCCGTCCCACGAGGATGGTCCTGCCACAACCCCTTCTCCATTTCTCTTTTCGGACTTAGGGCATGCACAAACACGCACCCAGCATGTTTTCAAGCCACCAGGTCTGGGACAAAACCATGCAGGTGGCCACGTGGGATCCAGCTGCCTCAACCACCCGGCTACCAGCTGGGCCCTGAGCTCCTTTCCCGTGTGAGACGGAATAACGGCTCTCACCTCACCAGGCTAAGCCGCAGCATGAAGGAAAAACGGGCCCTGGGGTTCCTGAACCTGCCGGCGTCATCGCCATTGCCACAACCTTCCTGTTTATTTCTCATTGAGGTACTTAATAAAAATGACCACTAGTACTTTACAAAGTGAGCAAGGTGCTCAGAGCCAAGATTCATCACTTCTTTTAAGCCCAAAAGGTCTGGTAAATATTCCTTCTTAGCACCCTCATGAAGTAACAATAACATCTCCTGACAAAACAAAAACACAACAAAAAACCCCACACTCTGCCTGTTCGTCAAGAGCCGAATACTAACTGTATGTGCACATTCATGTATCTTATAAACACCATGTCCTCTGTAGAAACGTGTGTGTACGTGAAATGGTTCGAATGCGGCTGTGACAGCGCTGTGCTGGGTGCAGGCGCACAGCAGTGACTACAGCACATTTGGCCCCCACCTCATTTCATGCTCTGATAATATAATGGGGTGAGACAACCAAATAAACCATCAAATAAGAAGACTGCTGATATGGCAATGACTACAGGTCATGAACAAACAGGGTGATGTGCATGAGTAATGGGGACCAGGGCTGAGTACTGCCCTGCGTGAGACCGCAGATGCAAAGGAAAGCCTCTGAGAAGGTGATAGTAAGCTCAAGCCAGCAGGAGCAAAATGACAGGAAGGGGGGACGAAACCCGTGCAGCAGGAGAGCAGGCACAAAGGCTCCAAGGGAGAGAGGGGCTGGGCACACTTGGTCAGAAGCAGGCTGAGTGTGGCTGCAGCGGTACAGTTCAGCAGAGAGTCAAGTAGGAGATGGTTAGAGGGGTCATGAACATCTGGTGGCTCCTGGTAAGAAGTGTGGATTTGATTCTCAGTGCCACAGGGCACTTCTGAAGACTGAGAGTGACATCACACAATCCACATTTTTAAACATCATCTGGGCGTTAGGGTGAAACAGGCTTCTGGGGGGCAACAGTGAAATCAGGTCACCATTTAGACCCTTTAATCAATAGTAACCTAAGCAAGGGCGAAGGATGGCTTGGTAGAGGGTGGTGACAGCTGAGATGAAGAAAGCTGCATTCTGAAGGTTTAGCAAACAGACCTTGCTGATATATTAAGAGACAGCAGGATTGCAGGATGATTTCTAGGTTTCGGGTTTGAGTTGCAGGGTAGATGGTAAAGCCGTTTACTGAGATGGGAAAACAGACATTACACATACAGATGTAGGTACGAACACAGGTGAGCACGCAGGGAAACACAGCAGATACTGCACCCGTAACATCTGGGATCGTGAAATTTAAAGCGAAACTAGTTAGTTACTCTTCCCAACCTTTACATCAACAATGTCTAGGCTATTCTTTTTTTCCTTAAGTTTTGTATCTTTTTAAATTTTACTAATAACTTCTTAAACTTAACTTTATTCTCATTTCCCATTTCTTTCTTGGTTTATAAAGCTGAACATCTGGTACATCAGTTTGCTAAGAATGCTATACCACAGACTGGGCAAATAGTTTCTTTTATTTTTTCTATGAGAGAGAGAAGGAGACACGGGCACCCCCAATAGGGTGCCATGATCCACTTCTGGGTTCAGCTGGCCTGGATCATGGGCACACATGCTTGGCATGCTCGGGGGGTCCTGGGCAGGGAACCTAGCATCTCTGACACAGGGTTCATTCGTACCACTGCTGTGCCACCACCTGACCCCCTGGACTATCCTGACGCACATTCGGAGGATGAACTGAGTCCATCTAAGGCTGGGGATTTGCCAAGGCTTAAGACAGGAGTAGGAAATGGAATCAGCTGGGAAAGTACACAGGCTCTGAGTAAGAAAGACAGGGAGAATCAATGGATAGCACAAAGCAAAACCTAACATAAATTAACGGTCATCCACATACCCAATGAACGGTGAAAAACGCTATCTTATCTACTAACCAGTTAGTAGATGTTTGTTTGAACCAACATCATACAAACTATGCAACAGAAGACTAACTGATCACTAATTCTGAAGACCACTTTAACTTGAAACTATTATAAAATTGTAATAAATTATCCTATAGTAATGCTTCCCTACAGAATGAGGAAGAAACCTTACCTCATGATTGTAATCCAGAATTCCTTTTAAAATTTTCTTTAAATTGCTTATCTGTTTAAACAAAGAGAAAACAATGGAGTAAAAGACAAGCACAGATCAAAATATGGTCTTGCATGAAAAATTTCTAAGGCAATCAATGATACTAATTAATCATAAAGTAAATACAGTATAAAAACAAAATTCAGGCCAGCCAGTGACATGGAGGTTAAGGCAGCTGGATCCCACATGCCGGACCGCACAGTTTGAGTCCTAGACCCAGAGACTTGAAAAACATGCTGGGTATGTGTTTGCACGCATGCCCAAAATCCTAAGAGAATTGAGGAAATGGGACTGTGGTGGAGTCATCCTCCTGGGGCACGGGTGTGTGTTTTCTCACTTTCTCTCTCTGTCTATCTGTCTCTTAGGTGAGCCCTAAAGCAAATTTTACAAATTAAAGAAATAAAATTCAATGGCATATTTGAATTTGCAATAATAAAAATTAGACATCTTAATAATCATCTTAAAAGTTATAAACAATTTATTTGATCTACAAGATTTACAACAAAGTAAGTTTTAAATTACATAAAATTTTGAATGCTATAATCACATTAACAGCATCTAGAGGGTAACTAGATACGATTTAACAGTAAAATTAAGTTACTCTGATCTTTTACAGCTTAACAAAAAAATGCCATCTTAATGAAGCCTAGAGTTTAATGCTTTTTTCCCTTAAAAATCGGAGTTGCATCTTACACAGAAGTTCTAAAGTTAGAATATTAAGCAAAAATTATTGTCAAAATTACTCTCTTAAATTAACCCATGAAATATAGTCTACAAATTCCTCCACTATCAAAGGACTGTTGTGTCTTTAGTTGAGGCATTAGAGTAATGTTGACAAGTTATAAGGTTAAAAAAAAATTGGTATTATAGCTTAAAATACTAGAGTAACACTCAACAGTGCAACATTCTTTTGCTGTAGGACAAAGGGTAAAACATAGATGTCTCCCAAAATTCACTCACTCCCAAGTCCAGGTTCACGCCTCATACAGTGTGAGTGCGATGACAGGCAGAACCACCTGCACTACTTACTGTCAACGCTAATTTGTTTGCACCTGTTTTCTCTGAACCTAACTCATGATTAAAGCTGTGTCCAGTGAAATGAGCATATGATCTGACTGCTGTTCTTCCTGTGGATCTATCTGCCCCCAGCCAATATTCATCGTCGAAGATGGCCTAGGAGAGCCTGTGGCTATCACAGCAATGTGTTTCAGTAGTTAATTAAAAACATACTTATTTTCAAGGGAAAATAAATCAAAAGTTTATTTATTAAAAAAAAAAACTCACAAATTAACACATTCCTATTTCTTAAAAAAATTGGAGATATGGAAAATAGGTAATATACTTTATTCCCTTTATTCTAGGATATTCTTTTATTCATTTGTTTGTTTGACATAGGGTACGTGTGCTCACCAGAGAGAGATCAAGAGAGGGGATGGCCACATTGCAGTCCCTTCTCCTCCATTCTCCTCTGGGGATTTTGTGCACACATGCACACATACCCAGCATGTTTTTCAAGCCACTGAGTCTGGAATTCAAACCCACTATTGGCCATGTGGAATCCAGCAGCCTTAACCACCACCCCATCAGCTGGTCAGATGTTCATTTTTCATATTTTAACATCTGAAATTAGATATCTTAATAATCAATGTGTTCACTTAAAATGATAGGGATTTTTTTCTGTAGCAAAAAATTATATAATTTATCTTTAATAAGTAGCATCACAAAATTTTTTTTTTTTTTGGAGAGGTTTTTCCTACAGGGTGCTTGTGCTCACCAGAAAGACAGAGACAGAGAGACAGAAAGCGAGAAATCACCCCCGGTGGGGATGGCCACACTGCAATCCTTTCTCCTTCATTCTCCTCTCAAGATCTTGGACACACACACGTGCCCGACATGAGTTTAAGCCACTGGGTCTAGGACTCGAACCACAGTCGACTACATGGGAGTCCAGCGACATAGCCAATACGCTAATTGCTGGTCCCCATCATAAAATGTAAATAATATAGGGTTAAATACGGAGAACAGGAATTCTGAACATTAAGAATATAAGGCCAGTCCATGGTGTGGTGGTCTTTAAGGCAACTGGATCTCAAATGGTTGATTAAGCAGTTTAAGTCCTGGACCTGGTGGCTTGAGAAACATGCTGGGTATGTGTGCATATGCCCAAAATCCCGAAAGGAGGAAGAAATAGAGGAAAAGGGACTGAGGCATGACTATTCTGCATGGGAGGTGCTTTGTCACTTTCCCTCTCTATCTGTCTTTCTCCAGTGAGTACATGCACCCTCTGGGATATAAAGGAAGGAAGGAAGGAAGGAAGGAAGGACAACATGACAAAATTTTCACCCTTCTCCATATTACTATCACTGTCATACTCACGACACTGAAGAAGTGTGGGTTTATATGTGTGTGCATATGTATGCATGGGAGAAGGGAATATTCAACTCCATCTTTGGTCAGGTCAGCCAACAAACATAATTAGTAGTATTATTTTAGACATCCATAAATTGCTTTAAACATATAACATTAAAAATCATCTTAACTGTCTATTTTTGAAAGACTGTTTAGAAATTAAAACAATTCCATTGAATAGTTTCACCAGTTTAGTGAAAAAAAGTGTTAGGTTTATTGACCCAATACATAATCAATCAATAAATACCTTTAATCAAACACATGTGTCTTGAGAAAAGTGTAAAGAGAAACCAGGCTTAGCAAGTATTTTATTTTTTTGGGGGGGAGAGGTTTTTGCTATAGGGCATGTGTGCTCACCAGAAAGACACAGAGAGACAGAGAGACAGAAAGTGAGAAATCACCTCCCAGTGGGGATGGCCACGTAACAATCCCTTCTCTTCCATTCTCCTCTCATGATCTTGGGCACACACGCACATGCACCCGGTGTGAGTTTAAGCCACCGAGACTTGAACCATGGTCGACTACATGGGAGTCCAGTGACATAGCCATTACACCAACTGCTGGTCCCCGCTTAGCAAATCTTAAACCCAGGGGCCTCACCTGCTTAACCATTTGTATTTCTTAGTCTATACCTGTCTATATCAAAAAGCAACAGTTCCAGAGTTTTCCAAACTGCCAGGTGTGACTATTATTGGGTCATAAAAATCAATTTAGTGTAAGAAAATTATAGAGATGAAAAACAAGTTAGTGGTTGCCTAGGGATTAGGGGTAGGAGTAGAGGTGCTGCAGCTACAGGCAGCACCAGAGAGTCCTGTGCTACCGGGACAGTTCTGTGTCTTCACCGTGATGGTAATCACAGGATGCTACCCATTAGAAAGCTGAGAGGAACTGTATGCAAGAACACAGACAGTGCGTGGTCAGAAAAAAAAGAAAAATCGGGACCAGCAGTTGGCATAATGGCTGCTGCTGGACTCCTATGTAGTCGACCGTGGTTTGAGTACCAGACCCGGTGGCTTAAACTCACATTGGGTGCATGTGTGTGCGTGCCTAGGATCCCAGAAGAAGGGACTGTGGTGTGGCCATCCCCCTGGGGGGGGGGTGATTTCTTGCTTTCTGTCTCTCTGTCTCTCTGTTTTTCTGGAGAGTGCATGTGCCCTATAGCGAAAACCTCTCCAAAAAATAAGAGAAAAATGCAGATTACACCAATGCCAGGTCCCTAGTTTTGATACTGTATTGGTTATATAAGATATTATCACTGAATATACAGAACCAATAATCATTTCTTTTTTGGCAACTCTACTTGCATCAATGATGATTCCAAAACATAAAGTTAAAAAAATAACTTAGAAGGTTGTAACTAACATTTAAGAAAATAAAACAGGGACCAGCAGTTAGCGTAATGGCTATGTCGCTGGACTCCCACATAGTCGACCGCGGTTCACGTCCCGGACCCGGTGGCTTAAACTCACACTGGGAGCGAGTGCGTGCGTGCACAAGATCCCAAGAGGAGAATGGAGGAGAAGGGATTGCGGCGTGGCCATCCCCCCGGGGGGTGATTTCTCGCTTTCTGTCTGTCTGTCTCTGTCTGCCTGGCGAGCGCACGCGCCTATAGAAAAAAAAAACTCTCAAAAAAAAAAAAACAAAACAAAATAAAACAAAAACATCATTGCAAAAAGTAAGGGTTAAAAACTTGTTCAGCAGCAGGTTGCAAGTAAACTTTCTTATTAAGAGTTTTGGTCAAAGAAGCTTGAGAAATATTATTAGAACTTAAGGCCACGAAGCAGGAAATAAAAATGTTTTATTTTGACTGTTTGGGACACAGTTAATGATCAATAATTTCTCATCACTGGGCCAGGAGGTGGAGTGGAGGTCAAGGCACTGGATCTCACATGGCCGACTATGCAGTTGCAGTCCCAGACCCAGCAGCTTGAAAATCACACCAGGCATATGTGTGCACATGCCCAAAATCCCTGCAGGAAAATAGAGGAGAAGGGACTGTGGCATGGCCACCCCCCTTGGGGGAGTAATTTCCTTCTCTCTCAGGAAGAGCATGCCACCTATAGCAAATGAAAAAATAATAGTAATTTCTCATTAACAATGCTAGGAACTAACATGTGTATACACTATGCAAAGTATATGACACAGTATGTACTTCTGTGAGGTAGAACCCATCATAATCCTCATTTTACAAATGGGGAAACTGAGGAACAAAACGGTCACCAGACTTGGCAACAGACCACAATGACAGAGCTCTGGTGTGGACACGATGCTCTGATCCAGGCCAAGCCCTTGGTCGCCAGGCTGGCTGACTTACATCTGGTCACATCTGGATGAGAAACATCAGGCTACCTTCCATCTTTAACTCAGGCTATTTCACTACAGGTTATCTCAGTTTCTAAAGCTCCCTGGATATACCAGATCAAAAATAAACAAATACTATGCACACAAATTATTTACAGATTTAACAGACGGAAAAACAAAAAGAAAGTACCTTTAGCCTCCAATTATCTCCTACTTCAGTTTTAATTCTGTTTAGCCAATTTTCATCAAAATATACAGGATCTCTGCAAATAAGGAAAAGCTTGTATATTAAGATTGTGTCGCTATTAAGCTAAATCACACAAAACTGCAGCCCCTCCCACAAGATTTCTGAACCACAACATAAACATGTATTTGTCACACGGCCACGACATAGCTTGGTATGAGACACAGAGGCAGTTAGAGCACATTTCTCTAAACGCGATTATATATACACATCATCAAAAACAAATTAAAAGGCAAATAACAGTAACATTTACTACATTTTAAAAACAAGTTAGAGATGATTACACTAACCTGGATTTAACTTACAGATACCATACAAATATCTAAAAAGTCAAAATCCATGATGAAATTAATGGCCAAGATAAAATTATCTAGCAACCTAAAATAAGCTTTTCAGCTAATTTCAATAACTTCTATCACCTAATACTTCAAAGGACACCAATAATGTTAATTTAAATACTTCAAATAATATAAACTGAAACCAGCAGGGAGCAAAATGGTTATGTCACTGGACTCCCTTGTAGTTGACCGTGGTTCGAATTCCATACCTAGAGGCTTAAAACTCATGCCAGGCACATGTACGTACATGCGTGCATGCATGCATGCCCAAAATCTCAAGAGGAGAATGGAGGAAAAGGGACTGCGATGTAGCCATGCCCCCAGGTGATTTCTCGCTTTCTGTCTCTCTCTGGCAAGTTCACATGCCTTATAGCAAAATTCTCTCTCTCAAAATAATAATAATAATAATATAAACATAATTCATTTTCTCAGAGGTAGTACTAGGGGTTATACCAAGGTGGACATCATTTCTGTTTCTAAAAGGCTAAAAAACTAAGATGATGTGGACAAACAATGAAACAAGGCTAGAATCTGAAAATATAAGGAGTCTTCAGAACATTCACAGGAAATTTTTATAATGAAAAAACTATACATGGATTTCAAGAAAATTTTTGCAACAAAATAAATCCCTAACTCGTTACAATATAGCTGAAGATCTTGTTTGAGGCACAAAGAAGTATGACATTGGTTTGAAAAGAGCCTCTGGAGCCAGCAGGTGGTGTGGTGGAAAGGTGCTGGACTTCCACAGAGCCAACCACAGTCTGAGTCCTCGACCTGGTAGCTTGAAAATCATGCTGGGCCCATGTACGTGAGTGCCCAAAATCCTGATAGGAGAATGGAGGAAAGGAGACTGTAGCATGTCCATCCCCCTCCGGGGGATGAATTCTCACTTTCCCTCTCTCTGTCTCTCTTTGGTGAGTGTACATGCCCTATGACAAAAACCTAAAAAAAAGAAAGAATGAAAGAAAAGAACATGAATTCTGCTAAAGCTGAAGCAAAAATAAACATCAAGTTTATGGCGAAGCTTCTGTGGAAGAATGGTGAAATCACTGATGCTCTACAAAAAGTCTATGTGGACAATGTTCCATATAAATCTGCAGCTTACTAACAGGATTACTTGTTTAAGAAGAAACTACTAATAGAGAGGGGCTAGCAGATGGTATAGTGGTTAAGGTGCTAGACTCCCACATGGCTGACCACAGTTCAAGTCCAGGACCCAGTGGCTTGAAAGTCATGTTGGGTGAGTGTGCACGTGTGCCCAAAATCCCAAGGGGAGAATGGAGGAAAATGGACATCAGCGTGATCATCCTTCCTGGGGGTTCTTTCTCACTCTCCACCCCATCTCCAGTAAGCACAAGTAAAAATCTTAGAAAAAAAAAAGGAACTAGATAATGTTGAAGGTGATGCCAGAAGCTGACATTCATGCCAACTTGTTAGGAACAAATTACTCTTGCGTGTGCCTTTATTGAGAAGGACCAACAACGAACAGCACAGCAACCATAGATATTGTAGCTGGTTCAGCTTATACAACTCTGACTGAAAAATTAAAGTTGAGCAGACTCATCAATGGGTGCCCAAATGGTTGCACCCAGATTGGCTGCTAAGAGCTTAGCTTTCGGTGGAAATGTGAAACAGGTGTGACCAAGATTCCTTCCTGAAGCATGTATTGGAAGGACTGTGACGGGAGATGACACATGGTTTTACCAGTATGCTCCTAAAGACAAAGCACAAAGCGACGTCCACCCAAGAGGTGGAAGTAGTTTCGTCAAAGCAAAAGTGGGCCAGTCATAGAGGTAAAGCCAAGGGGTTTTAAAATGCTCAAGGCGTTATGCTTGTTGAGTTTGCCAAAGAATAACAACATCTGCTTCTTAGGAGACTGTTTTGAGAAAGTTATCCCAAACTTTAACAGAAAAACGCCCTGGTAAGCATCACTAGGGTCCCTCTTCATCCAAACAATGCTCCTACTCATTTTTCTCATCAAATGAGGGCAATTTTGCAGTAGTTAGGATGGGAAATCATCACACATCAACCCTGACACTGACATGGTTTAATTCTCAGGACCCTCAGTCATCTGGGGATGGACTAAAGGGCTGGTATCATTGCTTACAAAAGTGACTTGAACTTGCAGCTTAGGTTGAGACATGAAGTTTACATTTTTATTTTACATTCCATTTTCCACAAACTTTTGGAAATCTCTTCATACGTATACTCATTTTTCCTACAGAAACTTCACCCTTTCATAATAAATAATAGAAATAAAACAACAACAACAAAAACCCTTTCAGTTTGGCCCAGTGGCCTAGTGGGTAAAAGAACCAGATCCCATATGGCTGACTGTGGTTGACTACTGGCCCTGGAGAGCACGCATGCCCCAAATCCCAGTAGGATGGAGAAATGGAGATGAGCAGAGTTCAATACAATCTGTTCTAGCAAAGCAACACTAAGGTCCTATGGCTAATCGTTTCCTTCATGCTCAGGAAACTAGGTCACTAACAGAACAAGCCTGTGTTCATTCAGACCGGGCACTTGCTCTCATTCACTGCTGTACTGCCCAATACCCCATGTCTTGCACATGGCAGCTTCTCTAGAAGTTACGGAAAGTGATAGCAATTATTCAATAAACTTCTAATCTATTACTTAGGCAGACTGTAGCAAAAATAGCAGTTAACAGCCTTTTATATTCCATGTAACTTTTCCTAGGAATAAACTTTGACCACATGGATACTGAACTTGAGCTGTGAAATACTGCTTTCCTTGACTAAAAATGAAGATTTTTCTGCTGAGACTTCTCCCTCTAGATTAATTTCTACTGGGTAGGGCTACCTCTGTTTCCTTCTCTCCATTTTTCTATGTTTCTCTGTGTCTCCCTGTATCTTTTAATTTATTTAATTTATTTATTTTTAAGGCAAAGTATTCTCTGGGCTCTCAAGATCCTCCTTTATTGTGCCAATTTGTGCCTTTCCCCATTCCATTTAGGAAAGGCACCAACCCAGGCCCATCCTGAGATGGATACCAAAATTTAGCTGTGAAATATTGTGTGCCACGTGGTTTTCATTTTTGCTTTTTAAAATTAAAATCTAAAGATTTTTTAAATCTTTTTTTCTTTGTTCTTTATTTTGTTTTTTTCTTCTTTGCTCTTCTCTAATTCTTTTCCTTTTTTCTTTATCTTTATTCATTGACTGCTCAGCCTCTATGCACTAAATGTCTAGACAAGTCCAAGTGAATAGGATCCAGACATCTGAATACAAGTAGTATCAGAATATTCCTCTATTCCCACTGAATCTGATGCACAAAGAGTGGAAATGGAATGGAATGGAGATTGCAGGTCAATTTCTCCTGCACTACTGTGAACACTCAATTTGAACTTCAAGAATTAGGAAGAAACATACCATCCATCAGATGACTAGAAATCACCACAGGATCACAAAAATTATGGGAAAGCAAGAAAATGCCTCTCCACCAAGGGAAAAGAATAACTCCTCTTCAAACTCAGACAGTACAATGAAACTCATGGAAATGTCTGATAAAAAATTTAGAATATTCATAGTGACAAAGCTAACAGAGATGGAAGAGAAGAGAGACAATGAACTGCAAAAGAGTCAGGAGAAAGGAGCTGACGAGTTCCAGGAGGGGAGGAAATTCTTGCAAGGATCTCAAAGAGGAAATACATGCTATAAAAAAGAATCAAATGGACCTGTTAGAGATGAAGGCTATAATATAGGAAGTCAAAAGCTCCCTTGAAAGTATTCAAAGCAGACTAGATCATATAGAAAATCAAATCTCAGATGTAGAAGATAGAATTGATTGCCTAGAAAAATCCACCATGGAGACTGAGAAAACTGTCTCCCAAAATGAGAATAATATACAAGAAATAATAGATACCATCAAATGTCCAAATATCCATGTAATTGGTATCCCAAAAGGTAAAGAGACTCTTAAGGGCATTGATAATCTATTCCATGAAATCCCAGAAGAAAACTGTCCAAACCTAGAGAGGCATTCAAAGATCCAGTTCCAAGAAATACCAAGGACCCCAAACAGAATTAATCCAAGAAGATCTTTTCCAAGACACATTATAGCCAGATTGACCAAAACCACAGACAAAGACAAGATACTAAGATTGGCGAGAGAGAAACATCAAGTTACCTACAAAGGATATCCCATCAGGCTCATAGCAGACCTCTCATCAGAAACAATGCAGGTGAGGAAAGAATGGGAAAATATATTCAAAGTGTTAGGAGAAAAGCAATTTCAACCAAGAATACTGTACCCGGCAAGATTATCCTTCATATGAGAAGAAAAGATAAGAACATTCTCAGATAAACAAAATTTGAAAGAATTTACCAACACCAGACCAGATCTTCAAGAAGTTCTGAAGGGAGTGCTATACCAGGAAAATTAAATGCAGACACACAGAATTAAGAGTTCAAAAACTAAGAAAATGGCCCACTTAATCATAGCGACAAGTTTGGAGTTGAGTATTATATCCCAGAATTTAATTGGGAAGATTGAACCACAACAAAAGATAAAGTACATGAGACTGAACTGGTGAAACAGCATTTTATGACTTTTGACTAAAACATTGCTGATTTTCTTCTAGGCTATTTTTACAGGTTTTAAGAATTTTTGTTGTCTTGAGCTGCCCAAAGATTCATGTACCTACTATTTGAACAGAATCCTA